TTTTAAAAAAAAAAAAAAAAAAAAAAAAAAAAAAAAAAAAAAAAAAAAAAAAAAAAAAAGACCTAAATGTAAAGGGAAAAATTTAACATACTTTTAGACTTTTAGAAGAATTTCTAAATGAAAATATAGGAAAATATCTTTTTGGCTTTGGGATAATAATGGATTTCTTAAAGAAGTAATAAAAGTATAAAACATATAGGAAAACTTTGATAATTCTGAGTGCATCAGAATTTAATGTCTGGACTTCCAATCAAGATGGCAGAATAGACAGTACCCAGCATCCCCTTCTCCCACAATCAACCAATTTACAACTATTAAAAAGCAATGACTGGGCCAGCCCGGTGGCGCACTGGAGAGTGCACCGCTTGGGAGCATGGTGGCACTCCTGCCAAGGGTTCGGATCCCATGTGGAGACTGGTTCTCGCTCACTGGCTGAGCGCGGTGCGGGAGCAACACCGAGGGTTGCGATCCCGTTGCCGGTCCCCGGTACGGGCGCGACACCGAGGGTTGCGATCCCGTTACCGGTCAGTATAAAAAGACAAAAAGGGAAAAAAAAAAAAAAAGCAATGACTGCCAAGCTGGGACTGCTAGAGCTCAGGGGAAAAGGAGGAGAGACCTAAGGAGTTCATGAAGGCAGGGGAAGCCATGATGAGAGAAAGAAAGGACCACTCTGATTGTTTTAAGCCCTGACCACTTCAAGCCTGGCCCTGGTGACACAGAGCAAGAGCTGGGAGAAGCCGCTGCTGTGCTGTTCATATGAAGTTGCTTGGACGCTGCAGAGAAGAAGACAGGCTTCATGGCCCCGAGGCCAGTAACACCACTAACAGGGACCCACATAGGAGAAAGGGGCCACAAGACAACTTGTGAGGAAAATGGAGACAGACTGGTCAGGCTCCCTCACCTCATATCTGGCTGAGCATGACTCAGCCTGCCTGATGTAAATACGTTAACTGTGCATGTGTGCCCAAGTGTTCCTTGGCTATCTGACTTGTGACCATGTGTTTCTTGGTTATCTGACTCTAGTATAAAAGACAATGGCTCTGATCCATGGGGGACTGAGCTCACGTCCAAATAAACCATGTCAACCATGCCAATAACTCCCAGGATGTTTTTACAACTACCTAGCTTGCAACCTGCATATGAGGGGTCTGTGACCCAGTCTGCATATGAGGGGTCTGTGACCCAGTCTGCACAATGGTTTGAAGGGTCTGTGACCCAGCCTGACACAATTGAAAAAAGGAACCACTCAGAGGCCGGTGAGTCATTGCAAAGGACCAGAGCCTGGCCTGTCCCATGGGATATGTTTGGAGTGTGGGGGCATGGGGCAGATGGGCCCACTGGGGGAACATTGGGGCACAGCACAGACAGCTGATCTGTCCTCCAACCAGCACAGTGCCATTCAGTGGAGACTGGTCAGGAACATAGAACTGCAGGGGTATAGTTTGTTGAAAAGACTCAGGCCTGCACCAGGATTTCCACACAACCCAGGTGGTACTGGACCTCACAAGACCCAGAAGTGCTTAAACAACAATTAAAACCTGAGCTGCACAAAAAGCCTCCCCCAGAGAATCAGCAGTAAAGCAGCAATTTAGCTCAACCACAGGGCTCAAGTGCTGGTTC